CGCCTGCGTGCCCCGGAGCGGGCAGCTCCGTGGGGCTGGGAGACGGCACCCCGCTCCGAGGGTCCGTCCGCAAGGCGCGAGCCTGGGCGCACGCTCTTCTGCTGGGATGCGCTCGACAGGGACAAGAGGTATTCGGAAAAGCTCAGAGCATCTTTGTGGCCCCTGCGTGGAGCTAAGCTGCCCCAAGGCATTTTGCCCGAAAGACTTTCTCGCTTCAAAGCCTGCCGAGAGCCGGCCGCCCCGGGAGGACCCTGCCGAGCCTTTCCCACCTCATCGCCAGCCCAGCAACGGCCGGCGGGCCGAACGCGGCTCCAGGTGCTGCTGGGAAAGAACAAGCCTCGCTGCGACCTGCAGACGGGCTCAGCGCAGGCCCACGACAAGACCACGGAGACGCAGACAAAGAGGAGGCTTACCCTGCCCGGGCAAAACCGTCCGTGCCGGTCACGCCGAGGATGAAGACAAGCCCTGCGAGGAGGCAGCTGATTTGGTGCATCTCCTGGCCTCTCCCGAGCCGCTCTCCCGGCTGTGCCCAGGGCCTCGCGGCACCCAGGAGCGTCGCTCTCCGATGGGAAGCGCCGGCTCCTACTGCATGTCTCGCTCGTCAGCGGGGGACCCTGGAACCGACAGAACGACGGCGTGAGCGCGCGGCGTCCGTCCCCAGCCAACGACATCCGATGGAGCCGTGGGGACCAGGCAGGACCTGAGATGGACGGCCAGTTTTGCTCCAAGGGAACAGACGTTTCCTTGGGAGGCATCAGCAAGGGTTGTACTGCGCTGTCACCAACGCAAGCACGGGAATCGTGACTCATTGCAAGCTCTACCAGGATTTAAAATAAAGTGGAACGAGGGTTGTCCACCTTCCAGCGGCACGCGAGGGGGTACGTGACCCTACAGGTACAGGGCGACAGTGCAGTCCCTGCTCCTGGGGTCACAGGGACGTCCAAGGGCAGCTCACTTGCTGGTAAGAGGGAGGGGGTGACATGCCAAAGCGCAGGGGACGAGGGGACCACGGGGGACACGGCCGTCGCCAAGCCCTTGACGTGAAGCCCTCGCGAGGCAGGCCCTCCTCCCGGCACGCGCCGGCCCGGCGGCGCGGCAGGGCCTGACCCCGGACGATCGCCTGGCCCCGCGCACGAGGAGCCCTCGCCGCCGCGGGGCTGCGCAGCCGGCGCGACAAGCTGCACGGAAGGAACCTGTAGCGCGAGGAAATGTGCAGCCAGTTCCAGGCCGAAACAACGGTCTGTAACTTCTTAATCCATACAGCATTGTAAAGCTGCCTTTTCCCACCACACAACATACTGAAATCCGATCTTTTCTTTAAAATGCAAGGGTTCTTGCCAGAAAAAAAGTGCTGTAAAGGCTGTACGCACAGTCTGCAGAGTAGTACTGAGCTGGAAATAAAGAGGCTTTGATTTTCTAACAGAGGACAAACATGAAAGAAGGCTGAAGAAGGTCAATAACAATATCTAATTTAAACAACATCTAATTTAAACAAAACAGTCGGCCTCCGGATGGCAGCAGTTAAAGGAGGAAGAAATAAAGACACCCACCTTAAATATATGACAATCAAAAAAAGAATCAGTCTTTCCAATTAAGCCTTGAGGAAGGCATTGCTTCCCTGGGATGCACACAATAAGAAACATCCCTCTGAAATACAGAGGAAATACAGAGGGCTATCTAAAAGTTAAAAACCGAAAAAAACCAGGCCACACGAGGTGGGAACGGACTGGAGCGTTGGTTGCTCCCAGCGCTCCTTGGGGACTCCTCCCAACTCAGAGCCAAGTCGCTGGTTTACCCGCCCTACCCGCCTCTGTGCGGAGGAGGAAGCGGAGGCACAGAGGGGTGCAGCCCCCCACGGCCTCCGCCGGGCCCGGCGCCTAGGGCTGCCTGGAGAGCGGCAGGCAGACCCCGGGCCGTGCAGCTGCACAGCACCACCTCCTCCCGGTAAAGCGCTGAACCTACAGGCAGATTTTGGCATCGTCTGATCCCAGCTGACTCTAACTCAGGGCACGGCATGGGAGATGCCAGGCGAGGCCCGAGCTTTTTTTTGGCAGCAGAGCACCCCCGGGAGCGCTCCCGCACCGTGCAAAGGCTAATGCCTTCCTGGCCCGTGATAGCAAACATCTTGACTACTTCCCCGTGCGTGTTTCCATGCAATGATACTGCAGAGAAGAGGGCTCCTGAGACGAAGGGCTGGCTAGCAGCCTATTCCCCTCCTCACTGAGCAGGCTGCCTGGGGACTCATTACAGTCAATAAGCAGCACAGGGCTCTGCCCGGCCATGCAATAAGAAGGTTGCATCTCACAGTAAATTGACTGCATTGCTCTCAAACGTAATCAGGGCCTCACTCAGTCCCTGAATTCAGTGGTGCTGCAGAAGCCGAGGATCCGGCTGCGGAAGCACAGCAAGGGATGACAATGCGGACACCTTGTCCCTACAGCTCTGCTCGCTCTTCCTCTGGATCCACGCGGGCCTGGGCCCCGCTGCGCTTCCATACCAGCCCAGCCGAGAGGCTGTGAAGAGGATTCCAGGGACATAAAACCTCTAGACCTCCATTCTTCTCCCTTTCCTCCAAACATAGCAACACACGTCTTCTTCTAATGATTAATAGGTGGTATTTCCACCATCAGGAAATCAAATCTTGCTTGATCTGTAGGAAAGTTTTTAAAAAATAATGAAGAAGTCTTCTCTCCCCCGCCAGTCCTTCTGGAGACATCCCAGGGATGCTAGTATACAAGCAAGGATGTACTAACTCCCTACTGCTCAGTCCTACAATAGGACACATATTTTCCTTATAACCCCTGATCTCCTTACTAGTGGTACTGCTCCAGAAGTCCATCAGTCAAATGCTGCCAACCATCTCAGTCCTCCCACAAAAGTCCTGCAACTGCCATGGGAGCTTTCCCTGCAGGGAAGGCTAGAAATGCAGGGCATAAGCCTTAAAAAAGTAGATCATTTGTTTTCTTCTCTTTGAAATTGAGCAGCATTGCCTACCTCAAGTGGGCAGAGTATCCCTCTGGGTCTCAAAATCATGGTTGTTTAATACCAGAAAAGTTATCAAAAGTGGGAAAAAAATGATAGACTAGTTTATGAAAATCATCATCTTTAAAGCTGTAGAAGATCCTCCAACCTGTTGCCACTGCTTCTCAAATACTCTTTTCTAAAGCACCTAGTTTAAGAAAAACTTTTCATGCTTAAGAAAAAAATAACGTCTTTTGCACTCTCTCTCTAGTTTCTCGAACAATAAGGTGAAGTTCAGTGGCCTGGCGATGTGAAGCTACATAGGTGCATCTAAGTTTCTGCTGTTTTAAGGGGCAGCAAAGTCCCCTTGGCCACCCACGTGCTCCTGCAATTTCCAGGGGGTCCCTCTCCCCACCAGCCCAAAACATCCCTGCAGGGTTTCTAAGACTGCTCTTGCCTAACCTGCAGCAGGAAGCAATGCGAAAATGCAAGCAGCGCTGCGGGCAAGCAGTGCTTTTTTCCAGTTCTGCCCACGAAACTGAGGCTAAAACTCCAAGTGATGCCAGTGGTGGGAACTGGGGGTCTATTTCCAAAGTGGTGCAACAGAACCCAGTCCTTCAAGAGGATGCAATTACCCTCACACTAACGTGACAGTCTGGTTCTGCATGTGAAACCACTGCTCTGAACCTCGCACTGGACCTGTTTCTGTGCCCTCAGTGCCCGACCCTCCGGGAGAGGTCCCTGCAGCATCCGCAGGAAGCAGAGGGATTTTCCCCTACCTGTCCCTGCACAGGCTGGGATGCACTGCGGCGCGCAGGTGCAGGGATGTGGGCGCTGTGGAGCACAGGCGCAGGGATGCCAGCACCACCGAGCACCATGCGGAAAAGCAGGCACTGCGGGGCAGGGGGCACGGATGCAGCGCTGCAGAGCAGGGCACTGCAGGCACCACGGAGCAGGACACAGGGACCCAGGCACCGCAGAGCAGGGCGCAGGGCTGCAGGCACCACGGAGCAAGGCTTTGGGCACCGCAGACCAAGGCATAGGGACGCAGGGCACCACGGAGCAGGGCGCAGAGCTGCGGGCACCGTGAGGCAGGGCAAAGCGGGCACCGTGGAGCAGGGCGCAGGGACCTGGGCATTGCAAAGTGGGGCACAGGGAGCTGGGTACCGTGGAGCAGGATGCAAGGACCTGGGCACCACGAAGCAAGGGGTAGGGATATGGGCACCGTGGAGCGGGGTGCAGGGACATGGGCACCTCGGGGCAGGATGCAGGACATGGCAGATCAGGGCGCAGGGACATGGGCACCACGGAGCTGGGTGCAGGGACATGGCACGGTGGAGCGGGGCTCAGGGACATGGCAGATCGGGGTGCAGGGACATGGCATGGCAGAAGGGGGCACAGGACACAGCAGATCGGGACACAGGGACATGGGCATTGCAGAGCAGGGCACTTGGCATGGCGGAACAGGGCACTGGGACATGGGCACCGCGGAGCAGGGCGCGGGGAGACGGCACGGCAGACCGGGGCGCAGGGACACGGCACGGCGGAGCGGGGTGCAAGGACATAGCACAGCAGAGCGGGGCGCAGGGACACGGCAGATCGGGGTGCAGGGACATTGGCACTGCAGAGCAGGGCAGAGGGCACGGCAGAACCGGGTGCAAGGACACGGCACAGCGGAAGGGGGTGCAGGGACATGGCAGATCGGGGTGCAAGGACACGGCACGGCGGAGGGGGGAGAGGATATGGGCACGGCGGAGCAGGGTGCAGGGACACGGCAGATCGGGGCGCAGGGTCATGGCACGGTGGAGCGGGGTGCAGGGACACGGCGGAGCGGGGTGC